AGACGCTTTTATCCAAAGCGACTTACAAATGAGGACAACAGAAGCAATCAATTGTAGTATTAAAACAACTAAAAACAGATCCAAAACTAAAAGCTAAAACTTTATAAATACTACCTATACACATTTTAAAATAAAGAGATTAAATAAAAATGACAAATGCATACAACAAAATTTCAAAACTTAACATTTAAATGAAAAACAAAAAAATAAAGCTAAAAACAATTAACAATATTAAAGAACAAAAGGTATAAGAGTATAATAACGATTCTAACATAACACTAAGCCAAACACCAAAAAAAAACCTACATATGTGTATGTACAACCACACACACATACATATATACTGTATATGTACATACACATTTATAAATTCAATATATATTATTTCCATTCCATTTAGTTTGTTGAAGTATTAAAATAACTCAAATTAAATAAAACTAAAAACTTAATAAAAGACCTATACAGCCATAATAAATTCAAAATAATAAATTCATAAAAAAAATTTATACAAAACAAAACCGGAAATCGAGGGGTTATGACGTCATTGGCAGGCGACACAATGACACTATGGACACGCTCCGTGTCACTATTAAAATTGCTTATTTCTCTGGATTTAAACATTCTTCGAAACATTTGGGATAATGTAAGTACACAAGTCAGCAAAATATATAACACCGTTCTAGTGGTTTTTGGATATTTTAATAAAAAAATCTTACATATTGTGCCTTTAAGTCAGAATTATTGCACTCCTATATTTTTTATATTTAATATATTTTGTGCCCAAAATATATTTTAACATGCTAAATATATTTTAATAGTGTTTCATTTTTTATTTTAATATTGTACTTTTTTTTGGAACATTTCCTTGCTGGATTTTATTTAAATGTGTTATATGTTCACACATGTTATAGACGACAAATAAAGTTTTTCTTCAAATGTGACATGTGAATGTATTTTCTTGGAATTAACTATATAGGGCAAAATTATCTTTTTAAAAAGATATTTATATGTTTAAACTATATTTTCAAAACAATGTATTGTATATTTTTAAATTAAAATATATTTGAAAATACATATTCTTGGCTGTGTGGTGTGCTCGGTCTGTTTGAAGTGCACGCATACACCGATGTTCATTCAGTGAAGTCTGTGAAGGTTACGGAGATTCACTAGCTCTCAGGGCTAGCCTTTATGTAAAATGGACATAATAGCATGACTTTCTAAGATTTACAGATAAGGATACAACTGTGAAATGCAAGTTATGCACTGGGGAAAACACGTCTCAAATGCTTTGCATAGCACACATAATTGTCAAGCTTGCTGTTAGAGCATTCTTATGTACAGGACAACTTGGGTCGTGCACTTTTCCTGCAGCAGCTCACTTTGTGTCCTCCGCTATATGTCATATGCGTTTAGTCCATAGAAATATCTTATTCACTAGTGTAAACTGACATGACCGGAGGATGCGCAGATGCGATTAATCGAATAGAATTTGCTGTCAATTATTTTCATTGCCGATTAAAATTGATTTTATTGATTAGTTGTTGCAGTCCTAGAAGGAATGGATTACACATTTTTCGTAGTTCAGTGAAATTAAGAAAAGTAATTTCTTTTGTGTTCCAAAGATAAAAGTGTAATACTAGTTTAGAGTAAATGACAAAAGAACATTCATTTTTGTGTTACTTATTCCCTGAACTAGAGATAAACAATTGAAGAAGTGATAAATAATTCACAAGTTAATAATACAATAAATTCTCTGATAGAATATATTTGAAATAATTGGCCGGTCTCCACATTATTAAGCTTTTGATAAAATCGCTGCTTCAAGTTAGGAGTGTTTTCTTCACATCCTGTGTTTTTCAGCACTTATTTTAATTGCATTTCATATTAGGAAGAACTAGACACTGGACTTGACTTTTGAAGTTCGTCAAGATGCAGTGCTTCAAATCTTGAAAAGATATTTAATATATCCTTAGTACAAGGTAAATCAGTTATAACTGTCCCTAAACATCATGCAAAACCTGTGCTTGGTCATTTAAATCAGTTAGATGCTGTCTTCCTGTCTATAAGTGGTCGTTTTTTTTATCATAATAAGCTGGAATGTGGACCAGACTTTACGCTACTAGTCAAAAGTCTGGTTATGTGAGAATAATAGCCCAGTTATCCAAGCATACTCTATATGGTGCCATTTACTGTGAAAATGCTCGTTTCCTGAACTCATATTTATTTATTTTTTAATTTAATTTAATTTTTATGTAATTCATTGTACTAATAAGATAAAATAGAATATAATACTTCAGCTTTTTTATCCTCAAGCAAATGAGTTTATTTGCATTACATGGTAAAAGAACAGGTCCAGTTATTGTGGGTACCTTAGTGATGCCAGGCAAGTCAACTAATGTCAGACTGAGTACGTTAGGGGAATAGATCTTCAGGTAAATGTGCTCAGGACTGATGCCCTGGGGAGGAAAAAGAGAACAACTAAATGAGATCAATTAAAACAGAGCCTTAAAATGGAACCTCAAACTATATGAAGTGCCATGCTTCCACTGCACCTTATTATTGGTACTGCGATCTGTTTCCTCCTCGATCTCTTTCTGGATTTCACTGAAATCTGTGAAAATCTGAGCAACGAGAATACAGCATCTCAACAGAGCCGAGGTTATCAAGCTATGATGTGTTCTGAATGACCTATTTATTCAACATGAACTGCAACTTTTTAATTACCTGGTTTTTGCAGTGAAGGAAGGTGCCCCATTCCTCTGCTTTGATACCTTTAGAAGATCGAGAGAGAAGAACACAAGACAACACAAATCAATATTTATGACAATGAGCCTAGCAGAAACCCTATTCCCATAAAAGACCTCAACGGAAATAAAAGCTTTTTACAGGCTTTGACTGCAAAGTGAACTGACGTGAACAAAATGTGAAATCAATATTCAACCAGAAATGTTGCAGTGGCCACATACATTAGTATACAACTGAGAGAGTGAAGCCCGAGCGTGCATTTGCTCTAGTCTCAAAGTGCAGGAAACAGTACCAGAAAAATTTAGAAATGAACTAACAGATGGAAACATAACAGATGGAAAAGCAATCTAGGTTTTAAAAAACGACATTTATGAAACAGAAGACGAAGCAAGGGCTGTGGGATGAGAAGCACACCGGAAGAGTGAAATGGACAGATGAACGTGCATGCAGACAAACGTTTGTTGAAGAACAGAGACCTGGATAATTGTTTTGGGTGTTTTGTTTAGCTCCTTTTCCTGAGAAAGCGGGAGAACAGCAGAGAGAGCGTTAGGAAGAAACACTACTGTAAGTGGATTAGAAACAAATTCACAGAAAGATCAAGATACATCAACATTGTCAGAGAGAGGACGTTAAATTCGTTACATTCCGGGCTCAATATAAGTTAAGCTCTATGTGTGGAAAAATAAAGCAATAATCGCATTCACAGTAATGCACTTACAGTAAAAGTCTATGGGACAAGACATCCCAGAGGGTTTAAATATGAACCCCATTGAAATATGAAGAAATATGATGCACATACCTAAGACATATGAAGCTCTCATTTTTGTTAACATGCTTAATTTATATATATATATAAAACTTATGTTCAAAGTTTTGGGATCAGAACTATTTTTTTAAATAAATGAATTACTTAAATTAATACTATTAATCAGGAATAAATTGATCAAAAGTAACATTAATAAAATTAATTATGCTATGTTAAGAATTTTATTTCAAATAAATGCTGTTCTTTTGAACTTTCTATTCATCAAAAAATCCTGCAAAAAAAAAAATGGATCATGGTTTCCACAAAATATGAAGTAAAGCAGAACTGTTTTCAACATTGATAATAATAATAAATGTTTCTTGAGCAGCAAATCGTCATATTAGAATGATTCCTGAAGACTGGAGTAATGCTGAAAATTCAGCTTTGATCACAAGAATGAATTCATTTTTCAAAAAAGATTAAAATAGAAAAAGTTTCAACTGTCTTTACTGCATTTTTGATCAAATAAAATCTTACCAACTTAAAACGTGAGCTTTAAATTAACTAGTAAGCTTTTTATTACCATGTAAAATGTTTATGTATTGTGGAGATATTTTTGAGATAGTGTGTATTTTAGCATGTTATGTACTAAACCAGAATATTTCTTAAAGATTTTTTACTTTGACACTGAAAACATATTTGTTGTACTTCTACTTCAAGGTATGCAAAGCAAGCACTTGTGTGCTAGACATGTTCTCTTGTGAAAAACTGTAACTCTGTTTTTTTTTTTTTTTTCAATATGTTTAAAGGGGTCATATGATGCGAATTCAAGTTGTCCTTTCTCTTTGGAGTGTTACAAGCTGATTGTGAATAGATAAGATCCCTGAAGTTGCAAAGACTAAAGTCTCAAAACCAAAGAGATATTCTTTATCAAAGTTAAGACTCTGCCATGGTTACAATATAAACACATGGAGTTATTTATATCTCATTTACAATAATGTACAGTATTTGAAAAATAATGTGTTTTTTGAACATTAAAGCATGTCAACATATTCTGTTACACTAAATACACAAAATAATGATCTTTAAAAAAGCATCATATGACCCCTTTAAACTTTCTGGCTGTGTCATAAAACCTAGTAAGCTACCTAGACAGTATTTCCGGGCATCACAGTCATTTCAATGACGCCCAAAAATACTGTTTAGGTTGGAAGACCACTATTTTTTGAGACACAGTATGTGTGTCTGCAGTCGATAGAGTACAGATATGATAAACCCTTAAAAGAGAGACACTTGTTACCATTGTCTTGTTTCCGCCTCTCCTCCAGCGGAGGCACGTTCACCAGCTGTAGCACTAGAGGGCGCCGAGTCACTATTCCTGAACCTCGGGGCAGAAAGTCTCGTCCAACCAAACTCTCCAGTACTGAACTCTTTCCACTGCTCTGTAGATTCATTTGAAGAGACCCACAGAGCACATGCTTGACTTCACAGAGAAAATACTGGCACTGTGTTTACATGTAGACCTGCTTCATGATGTGCATGATGTATTATCACGAAACAAAGATGACACCTGAAGTAGTGACGCTTTGCATTCTAATACACTGCATAAAGACTCATATTCAAACCTTGCATATTTTTCATGACTCACCTGTGACCCCACGACTACGATCTGAGGAAGCTGGATGATCTCGGCTCCAAGTGTGAGGAAAACCTCCTGCAGCCTGTTAATGATGGGAATCAGAGTTTCCATCTATGAAGAGAAAGACAAATGGACGCACTGAGTGTAAAGGTGCTATACTCAAACAACAGATAGTAGCTTAATCAATAGAGATGCTTCACACATTATAGCAGCGTTTTATATATATAAATTAATAAAAGCCTTAAAGTCTTAAATTCATAAAATTGTGGCAAAGTCTATACTTAAAACAAGAACATATATCTGCCAATGTGGTAGTTACGTTTCTTTTTCTGAGTCCACTGCAAGATTTGTTCATGTTTAAATCATAAACTCATATACATCTTACATATATATCATATATATCTTACGCTTCACATGTAAAAAGCACAAGTCTGAACAAATGACCCTGAAAGACACTAATTTGATGTGATTAATTTGTAGTACACACACATAATACACACACACATATATACATTCATACGCATAGCTAGTAATTAAAAGCACAGGCCTGCACAAATGACCATTTCATTCAATAAAATGAGACTAATTTGATAATTAATTTGCAGTTATATTGAATATTTCACGACAGACATCAGCCCTGCAGGGTGTGCTGCTGCCAGCAGAACAACAGGAGAAACCATATAAACATTAGCAAAACGGGCTACATACCTCACCGTAATGCGCTGTGTGGAGCCTTCTACACAATTACACAATCAGAGCGTTGTTACGCTCACTGTCATGCTGGAAATATGGAAAATACAACGTACAGTCACGGGAAGACCGACATGTTTCGAGGTTTACAGCAGGCTGTCAAAGACGGATCCGGCGTCAGCTACGAGAGATCTGATTGGCTAATGCAGTGATGACGCTAGAGTTTATTTTCAGCTCATTGGATAAAAGACCTATCAATCATATTATGTCATGCCTGCTTCTCCCCGCCCCTTTCCAACATCAGGACCCCTACAATATTTCTTCAGTGGGCTTCAGTATCACAGTAGCATTAGGATTTAGGTCATTCTTCTGGAATTACGAAGAAAAAAATAATTTCATAACACTTTAAAAGATTCGAAATGCGTCGAATCAATTAGGATGTTTGTGTAAAATGATTTGAAAGATATGAGTTAGGGAAGTAGGCTTGGTGAGGTAAGTTATTGAGGAAGTGCGAATGAGTCAGAATTTAGACACAAATGATCAAAATGTGCAAATCACATGACGAAGACCATAAGGAAAAGACGAGCACAGGAAGAGCCTCTCCCTGCCCGGTTTATTTGGCATTTACATTTAGTCATTTAGCAGACGCTTTTATCCACATTTTATTTGTTATTTTTTTCCTGATTAAACTTATCATAAATGCACTTTTAGGTAAGTTTGAGTTGCATAACAATTTTTTTTTTACTACAATTAGTTTACTCGTTTAATTCAAAGTTCTGCATGCATATGGGATGCATATGGATAGCTAATGCATGTGGATAAAACGTTGTTTTTATATGTAATTATTTAGTTTTGTTGGCTTGTATGTGTCATCCAAATAAAAATAAAATGTAGAATACTATATACACTAACTGCTATAAAGTGAGGGATTCGTTTAATTTATTTCTTCCTCCTCGCCATTTTGGAGTCATTAGAAAATGACGGAGGGGAAGTCCGATTCATTTCAGAGAATCGGTTCGTCCGGACAGTTCATTTAAATGGGTTCACTCAAAAGGGTTCTTCTAAGACTTTACGTGGCACTGGCAGTACATTTCAGTCAAATATTATTGTTATTATTGTTCATAACCATGTTTATTGTGCTGTCAAACACTGCTCACCGTTTTTTTTCTCCCTAACGCCTCTCATACTGTAGACCGATTTAAATCTCCTTGCGAATCGGTTCGAATGAATCACTCAATAGAACCGGTTGAAACACAATGCGCTCGTGATTCGAACATCAATATTTTGCGTCAGTCCCTTGTGACTCCACAGTCATGTCCTGTTCTGCTCGGAAGAAACGCATAATACTCCACAACAGCTGATGTGCATCTGGATCATAAGAAACACTGGGTGGTTTCTGTGGAAGATTCGTACGCGCAGCGAATATCAAAAACAGCCGCGACGGTAAACGCGAAGAGGTGAAGGTAAATTGTCTTGACAGTTTGTTTTCCTCACAAAATCTGATTGGGGCATAGAATATTACATCATTTTAGACCCGAATGCTCTTTCATGTTTTTGCATGTCATAATGTGGATTATGTGTATCGTTCTGGTGATTGGTTCGGTATCATCATGGCATACAATATCTGTCCTTACCAGGACAAAGTTCTTGTCACACAGAACAAAGACTTTGTGGGTTTCGCTTCTGTAATACTGTCTGAAACGCGTTTGTTACAATGTAACTGCATGTTTTCACGACAGTGTTGTCACATGACTCAGTGAATCACATGAATTCATCCTTTGAACTCCAGCCACTGCATGCACGCTACAGTTTGATTGCTGCCTTTTCTCCTTCGTTTTAGACTATAGTTTATTCTAATCTAACTTTTTTTTTTATAGCAATTAAACAATACATATGTACTTGTAACCTTGACATATTACACATTCATTTTAGTTCACTTAAAGTCAAAGATCAAATATAATATGCCTAAAATAGTGCCTAAGAACACAACTGTGCAGTTTCAGCTTTTAAGTGCAAGTTTACCTGTCGAGCATTTGTCTGTGGCAAATAACGCATCTTCTGCTTCGGTCTAGCATCCGTCTCTGCCTCACAGCTTTCTCCTCCACACCATGGCCTCTCGTAAGAAGGTGCTGCTCAAAGTGATCATCCTAGGGGATTCTGGGTAAGTGTTTGTGCAACATCTTTGTGCTATCAGTGATGTTTAGATTGTTATAATCAGTCGTGACTCTTTGTGCTCTGTAATGCACATCTAAAGCAGCTGTGCATATGTAAACATCATTGGCTTGGCATGACTCGAGGGATTCCCCTGACTTCCCATCATCCACGGCCTCGGTGTAGGTGCGGTTGGAATTTGTTCAGTCCTGATGGCCGATCACACTCTCTGTGAAACTCTGAACACTGCTGGATGAGTGCAGTCCGTCATGCAGGACTAGCTGAAGAATATTATCAAGACTTCAAGCTATGCAGATCGAAGATGACGGCATCAGCTGCACGTGTTTCTAAAGCATTGTCCCGTTTGTCTTTGACAGAGTTGGGAAGACCTCTTTGATGAACCAGTATGTGAATAATAAGTTCAGTAATCAGTATAAGGCCACTATTGGAGCCGACTTCCTGACTAAGGAGGTGATGGTGGACGACAGACTGGTCACCATGCAGGTTTGCATTCATGTGTATTTAACTGGAGTGCATTTCACTCATACAACCGTCCAAAAGTTTGGAGTCAGAATGATTTTTTTGGTTAAGAAATCAGTATTTTCATTCAGCAGGGATGCATTAAATTGATCAAAAGTTACAGTAAAGACATTTATAACGTCACAACGGATTCTTTCGTTCTTTTGAACTTTCTATTTATCAAAGAATCCTGAAAAATAAAATATATCACAGTTTCCACAGAAATATGAAGCCGCGCCACTGTTTTTAACATAATAATCAGACATGTTTCTTGAGCAGCAAATCAGCATATTATTATGATTTCTGAAGGATCATGTGACACTGAAGACTGGAGGAATGATGCTGGAAATTCAGCTTTACCATCACTGTAATAAATTATATTTTAAAACATATTCACACAGAAAACATAGAATAGAATTCACATAGAATTACTGTTTGTACTGTATCCGTGATCAAATAAAGGCAGCCTTGGTGAGTCTTTCGAAAACATGAAAAAATCTCAAACTCCAAACATTTGAATGAAAGTGCTATTCATGTATGAGTGAATATCATAAAGAAATGTCTGGGTCATAATTCACCCTAAAATCCAAAAGAAAAAATGAAGTGTATTTTTAGAAGGATAAGATACACTTTTTTGCATGGTTTTTATTATTTTTTTATTTAATTTGTATTGTTTAATTAGTATGGTTTAAAGCAGCTTTACGGAAAATTATGAAAGATGAGAGAAAAATCAACACTTAAATGAAAGAAAAATGTGAAAGCCAAAAGTGACATCATGGTATTATTTATGGAAATTTTTATGCCAAGCATAATCTTTAAATAGATCATTCTTCCTTTGATTTTGGAGTAAAAACTAAGTTTATGTCAGATTTACTCTCATACGCCTATAATAGTGGTGATTTACCAATTAAATGAATTGTTTGGAAACCGCTGAGAAATGAATACGAGGCCAGAGTGCTCTGAAGATGATGCTGTCATTTCCTTAACAACCATTATTTTGTGAACAATTCCTCACAGGCAGCAGTAATCATCTCTGGTCATGTGACACTCTGCTTCATACAGTCATCTCACAAATATGAAGCCTCTGTAGTTACTCATAGCTAATGGGTAGGATCTCGTCTCAGTGTTTGACACTCATTCTGACGTCAAAGTTCTTCTGATGCCATGTGCTGATCATGTGAAATAAATAAGTCACATTTAGCTTGATGTCTGGTAATCCGCTGGTATTTTCCCAGTCAGCACAGATTCATGTTGTGTTTACTTGTAGCCATGTTGTAACCTGTATGACCGCTCATGTGACATGCCCAGACAAGCAGTATTTGTGAAGTTATTCCTGAAAAGTAATTTTTTAGAAAAAAAAATAGTTTTTCTATATTATAATACTGTAGTTATTCTGTCTGAGCAGTTGCTCATGATAACTTTACTAATGAATGCATTTATGAATCCCATATTAGCCTTTGCCAAATGGACAACACAAGAATAGACACCAAATTTTGTATGTTTAATAAGGTACAAGAGGCTGTTCTAAATTGTTAAAGGGATAGTTCCCCCAAAAATGAAAATTCTGTCATCATTTAATCACCCTCTAGTTGTTCCAAACCTGTATGTGTTTCTTTCATCAGCTGAACACAAAAGAAGATATTTTGAAGAATGTGTGGGTAACTAAACAGTTACTGGTAGCCATTGACTTCTGTAGTATGGAAATAAGTACTATGGAAGCCAATGGGGACCAGCAACTGTTACACACAGGGTGACTATTGAAAAATAAGTTTTGGGTGAACTGTCCCTTTAATAAAGGCAAATAATTGTTAATCAACTTCTTGTTATTTACTGTAAATAATTCGGTTTTCTTCTTCAAGATTTGGGACACGGCGGGACAGGAGCGCTTTCAGTCTCTGGGCGTGGCGTTCTACAGAGGGGCAGACTGTTGCGTGCTGGTGTACGACGTCACGGCACCAACTACATTCAAGACTATGGACAGCTGGAGGGACGAGTTTCTCATTCAGGCCAGTCCTCGTGACCCAGAGAACTTCCCCTTTGTTGTGCTGGGCAACAAAATCGACCTGGAGAACCGGCAGGTCAGTCTGCAGACTGGAGCTGGTATGGTTAAGAACGCCTTGGTTTTAAAGAGTTACAAATGAGTAGAACGACTGCATGAGCAATGTGTTTTGAATGGCTGATATTTACATTTACATTTAGTCATTTAGCAGACGCTTTTATCCAAAGCGACTTACAAATGAGGACAATAAAAGCAGTCAAAACTAACAAAAGAGCAACAGTATATAAGTGCAAATGACAAGTCTCGGTTAGCCTAACGCAGTACACGTAGCAAGGTATATATATATATATATATATATATTATACACACACACGCACACAAAGAAAAACAAATAGATAGAATAGAAAAAATAGAAAGCTAGTGTTTGTTTGTTTTTTGTTGTTTTTTTAAATAAAAAAAAATAAAATAAAAAAAGAAGATAAATATAGATAAAGTAGAATTAAAATAGAATAGAAAGTGCTAGAGTTAGAGGGTCAAATAAAGGTATGGATAATATAATAAGATGTGCACTAACGTTCTAAAGTTTGGGGTCAGTAACTTCTTTCAAAATCATTCAAATAAATAAATAATTCCGACTTTTGAATGTTAGTGTAATTCCTATATGGGTGAATCACTAAAGAAATGTCTGGGTACTTTACCCCAAAATCCAAAAGAACATTTTTATTTTTATGAATAATACGATCTTTTACATTATTTTGTATTATTATTTTTTCATTTAATTTGTATAGTGCTTAATAACATCTTAATGTTTAAAGCAGCTATTATTAAATATTGTTACAATTTAAAATAATAATTTTCTATTTGAATATATTGTCAAATGTAATTTATTCCTGTGATGCAAAGCTGAATTTCCATGAGCTATTACTCCAGTATAAAGTGTCACATGATCCTTCAGAAATCATTCTAATATGCTGTTTTTCTGCTCAAGAAACATTTCTGATTATTATCAATGTTAAAAACAGTTGTGCTGCTTCATATTTTTGTGGAAACAGTGACACTTATTTTTCAGGATTCTTTGATGAATAGAAAGTTAAAAAGAACAGCATTTATGTGAAACAGGAATAAAAAGTTAAAAAGAACAGCATTTATGTGAAACAGCATTTGCAACATTATAAATACTTTTACTATCACTTTTAATCAATTAAAAAAAAAACTTTTAATGGTAGTCTATGTGAAAGGACCATTATTGGCCAATAATCTCAAAAATAGGCAAATAGCCAAAATTAGAACAGGGAACATCGTCTTTCAAGAGAATATTAAGTGACTTAATAAAATAATATATAAGCCATTTTTAGATGTAATTCATCATTTCATCCCCAAATCCTTTCTGTTTTGAACAGGTAACGACAAAGCGAGCTCAAGCGTGGTGTCAGAGTAAGAACAACATCCCCTATTTTGAGACCAGTGCCAAAGAAGCCATTAACGTGGAGCAGGCCTTCCAAACTATCGCTCGCAATGCACTTAAACAGGTACTGGAAGTTGTGTATACCTGTCTTCAGATCAATTTCAGAAATACGATTCAACAAAATCTAATTGTTCCATATATCTCACTTTCAGCAAGATCCTGTTTGATATCAGATGAAAAAAGACAATAATCAGTAATCTATCACCTTGTTAAAAAGATGAAAATTGTGTATTGAAACAATTTACTCCCCAAAGCTATGACTTTGTTCCATAGAACAAAAAAGGAGACGTTTAGCAGAATGTTCACGCTGCTCTTTTCAATACAAAAAGCTCCATACAAGTAGCTTGTACAACTTGTGCTACATTCCAAATCTTCTCCAATCAAAAATTAGTCAAAATCGTATATTGGCAATAGTATAAGTGACGTAAGAAGCACAGCTCACACAGAAGTCACTTTCAAACCAAGCAGCTTTCTTCTGGTTAATTCGATGAATCCATGTGACAAGTGTGAACCCGTTGCGAAATCTGCATGAGGAAATCATTCGCCCTCAAAGCAAAAATTCGCCAAACAGCGGTACGCTACTAAGTTTTTCACTATAATTATTGCCCTCTGCCATATTCTGATATGCTGTATGAAATGAATTTAACGTCCGTGATGTTGGACATTCTGAAATGCGAATGAGATTTTAATATTAGACTTAAATATTGCTGTTTTTGTCTCACAAAGCTATTTTATGACACCGGAAGAAATGGAATATAGTAACTTAATAATATGTAACTACTAGTAATATGTAAATCAGTCATATGAACTTTTTTTCTGGCACTTGTCGTTTCTTGGCTCTTTCAAGCTGCAGCTTTCATTGTATGGAGAAGTGTAGCATGAACATTCTACAAACTTTCTCCTTTTTTTGTTTTACGCAAGAAAAAAAAAAAGTAATTCAATTTTTGAATGGCATGGGTGTAGGGGTGTGCGATATTGACCAAAAATAATATCTCAATATTTTCTGGGATTTTATCGATAACGATAATTAGACAATATTTTGCTGAGTGTGTTATTGTGCTTGTATCTTAAGGACTGCCGTGGAAAGCTGACTCCTAGTTTTTGATATTCTTCATATTCTGTATGGTGGTCAGTTCACACTGATAAGAAATTAATCTTTTCCAATAAGTTTAAACTGATTTTTACATTTCATGGGCATTTTTACCTTTATAAAGCCATTTTTTCTAAAAGTGTCCATATCAGTGAATTATGAAATCAGTATCAACAAAATTCATCTTTGCAATGCAGAGGAAACACAGAAGCTTCATCTGAAGTGGCATTTAGATGTATTTACACACTGTTTAATGCGGGACATGAATGCATTTAACCTGCAATTACAAATGCATAAATAATGTTTTGATATAGGCCTATTAAACATAAAATGATATTTGAAGAATTTAAATAATAAAAAGATACTTTAAATGTGAAATTAAAACCGCCAGTAGGTGGCAGCAAGTCACTGTTAATAAGCGAGTCATTGCGATTGAACCGAATCATTTAAATGGGTGATTCATTCAGGAACGAAACACCGTTATTTGCTCAGAGACTCAAAACAGCGCTGTGGCTGTGTTTGGAATTATTTTTTGTTGTCGAAATACCACATAAACAAGAAATATGGTGTCTAAAATATAAGTCTCTTACTTAACTTCTTGTTTATTGAAATCAAGAATCACATTTGTAATCATGGTAATTTTTGGAGAAAAAAACAGCACTCTTCGTTTGAAATTGATTAACTATATTAAGTCTTATAAATATATACATTTTCTGCCCCCATGTCTTGAATTTGTGATCTTTTGTGATCATTCTAAATGTATTTTAATAGACTGAATCATACAGTGAAGGAACACTCAAAATGCGCATGCGCACTAGTCTAGACTTCACGTAATGTATGCGTGTGCTCTGTAGGTGTGTTTTGAATGGTTTTTGTAAAATACTTGATAATGTCAAATCGCACATGGTTAAAACAACAATTACGATATTATCGCAGACGATATATCAGTGAGTAAATAATGCCAAAGAACCTTTCAGCGAATAATTCTTAAAATAACCTTTTTTTCTTCATTTGAAGAACATTTTAAAAAATCTAAATAAACTTTTACACTATTAAGAACCTTTTGTGGAACGAAAAAATTCCACACTCTTAAAATTAAAGGTTACAAAAAGGTTTGAAAACCAATTTGGAACCTTTAAATTAACTATTTTCTTTGTCTGAAGGGCATTTTAACAATCTAAACCTTTTCCACCATAAAGAACCTTTTGTTCAATGGAAAGGTTCCATGGATGTTAAAGGTTCTTCATGGAAGGTACCATAAATGCCAATAAACAACCTTTATTTTTAGGAATGTATTTAACTGGCTGGGATTTGTCATTAAGTAAACTCTAAATCTGAAATGAATTGAACTTTCAGGAGTCAGTGGAGACGTATGATTTCCCTGACCAGATTAAACTAAGAGACGACAGACCGGTGTCTAGCAGTGATGGCTGCAGCTGCTGAGGGAAAGACTAACCTGGGGACTGCAAGAGAACGAGCCAACATGGGAAAGGGAGAAAGCGAGATGGAAAAGATCCAGGCCTGTTGTTCGAGCGCCCGTCCTCCCCTTTTAACAACGCCCGTCCTCCCCTTTTCCTCCTTGAAACCTCCAGGGTATCAAATGCCACGTGTGAAAGCTGAACATCCATTTTCTTGCTGAACTCCAAGTAAACGTGTGGTATGATGAACTATTGAGGAACAGGAACCTCTGACATTACATTTATTACGAGTTCTGCTATCACTACAGCTGTCCGAGAATTCCCTGCTGTCTGTGCAATTTGATTTTCTTTTCTCAGAAATTATCCTTTGCTCTGCTAATTGTGCTTTTTTAATTTGTACTATTGGTTATTGTTATCAATGCCTGTTTCACTCCTATGCTGAATGAATATTCATTTAAAAACATTACATATGTAATAGGGCTGGGAAATATCACAATATTAATAAAATATTTTATCTGCCATTTAAAATCAACCAACATTTGTTTACACCATAGCTTCTCAGTAAAATACACATGCAGAAATGGCTTAGGAGCTCTTTAGATCAGTTATATTTGATTTATCACTCAAAAATGATCATGGAAATCCCAGTTTCACATCATTTCAAATGTTTTAAAATTTAAAAAGTAGGTATTGTTTTTTTATTAGTGTCTGCATATATAAAAATTATTAAATATATTTACCCGTGTCTATGTAAGGAAAAGGTATGGAAAACATGCATAGATTTTTTTTAAACTGTATTTTTTACTTTAGACATTTAAAATCCACTTCACAAAATTGCTGTTTGTTTGAAATGATAGTTTCTCTAGATAAATAAATAAATCAGGGCAAATGACTATTGTCAAAAGATAAAAATATCAAACCGATTTCTTCACTCATCTCCCAGCCTTACTAGTGTCATGAATATACGTAAGTGAGTAAGGATGTGCTAACAGTGTATTAACTTGGACATGAGGGTACTGGGATCTTCTAGGTTGACTTCAACATTAAATCTGAGAATATTTTAGTCTTAGTTGGACTGTAAGAACTTCTGAAAGTGTTTTAAGCCACTTGATTGTTTCTGTAACATATTTCAACCATGCCAGTTATAATGGTTTACAAAAGATGTACGTTTTTGCACATATAGCTGTTGAGTATGTAAATGTGAGAAGCACACTAATGAGGTTACATCATGCTTAACTCAGTGTTTTGATTTGCCATTGGACATAGTTACAGTGGGTACGGAAAGTATTCAGACCCCCTTCAATTTTTCACTCTTTGTTATATTGCAGCCATTTGCTAAAATCATTTAAGTTAATTTTTTTTCCTCATTAATGTACACAAAAATTTAAGGGGGTCTGAATACTTTCCGTACCCACTGTACATGTTATGCTTGTATTCATTAATATATCCATACTCAACCTAGGAGCTCCTCAATTATATATGCCAAAATGCAAAAAAAAAAAATTAATTCAGGCATTTTTATTTGGGCCAAATGTAAGAGAAACACCAAAACCAAAAAAAAATAATGATGCATTTAAAACCAAGCTGGCTGTTAATTCCAAATAAAAAATAAAAAAACTGATAAAGAACACTTTTTATTGTACTTTAATAATTTGCACACAATATTTACAAAGTTGCACTAAAAGCACCTCTGGTTTCCTCTGATGGGAAAGCAACGGTAAGCATTGTGGCCTCTTGAAGATCAGAGAGGCCCCTAAAAGTCCATATGAAATACATCCCACTCCCTGACTGCGGCTGGTCCACTGCAGCTGGAGTGTTTCCATCAGTTTAGTGTGTTTCAGTCCATGTATGAGGTATCCATGCATGAGGTATCCATGCCCTCTGTCTCTGGATGCAGCAGACGACTGGCCAGACGCTCAATGTCATCCAGACTCAGCTGTCTGAGCGAGCGTTCATAATCCTGACAACAAGAAAAAAAAAGATATTAACCTCGGTTCTTATTACCTATTATTTATTACATACAAAAAGATGTGCCAATATTCTAATCATGACCAATGATTTTCTTTTTTTTTTACAGTGCTCATTTCTTACATATCTAACAAATTTAATATTGTTATTTGATTCTGCTTTCTAAAGACTGAGGAAATCATAAGCAGTGTTGTTATTGTTCACAAAAACTATAAAAAATTATTTTCATTAATTGAAATAAAGCTGAAAATATAAAAATACAAAAAAAACAAATTAAAACCAAAAATAAGTTTAACCTGAAGTACTACATTACTAAAACTACAACTGAAATTAAAATAAAAACATATATATATATATATATATATATATATATATATATATATATATATACACAGTATATATAATAAACAGT